ACTCGCGGTACCGTTTTTTGTTTCCCGCGACACCGCTCGACTCCCAACGACACCGTTTTTACCCGCGGCATCGACTTAAATGCCGAGACTAATTAATGCGGCATTTAATTCTGGCCGAATTAATTTTAGGTGTCAACAAATGCCCCCCACAATTTGGTTTATAGGAATTATGAACCAAATTGTTGACAAAAAAGTATAACACCTAAAATACTTGGCTCCAAGTGTTAAACAAAATAAACACGTAGGCCAAAGTTAGCAATGAAGTCTTTAATTACCACTTATATAATCCTCATGCATGGCCAAATGATTTTGGCCACCAGTACTGTATTGCGGCTAATTGCAACAACGCGGCCAAACTTTTCCCTTTTTTTCTTCTACCAGCGCTGCAAGCATTAATTAATAATAATAATGATTTTTTTTCTCGGGGCTGTTCGCGATTCGCACCAATCCCGCAAGCAAATTGCCGCAGGGCTGGTTCAGCAAAACGGCGTTGTTGATTTTGTTTTTTTTCTTTCTATTCAGCGCTGCTTTGGAACAGCCGCAGGGCTGGATTTTTTTTTTTTTTGTTCTTTTCCGCCAGAGCTGTTGCGGCAGAAGTGATTTTTTTTTTAGCGTCGCTGCTCTCCTCCGCCAGCGCTGCTAGCTTTGAAAAAAAAAATTCTTTTCAGGGCTGTTGGGAACAGCCGTAGGGTTGGGAATTTTTTTTTCTTTTCCGCCAGAGCTGTTGCGGCAGAACTGATTTTTTTTTTTTAGCGCCGCTGCTCTCCTCCGCCAGCGCTGCTAGCATTGAAAAAAAAAATCTTTTCAGGGCTGTTGGGAACAACCGCAGGGCTGAGAATTTTTTTTTTCTTTTCCGCCAGAGCTGTTGCGGCAGAACTGAATTTTTTTTTTAGCGCCGCTGCTCTCCTCCGCCAGCACTGCTAGCATTGAAAAAAAAAAACTTTTCAGGGTTGTTGGGAACAGCCGCAGGGTTGGGAATTTTTTTTTTTTTATAATTTTCCGCCAGAGCTGTTTGCAACAGCGGCAGAGTTGCATAAATTTTTTTTTCTTCCTGCGGCCATACAAATAATATATTTCCAGCCTTTTTTTTTATAAAATAAAATTTGGCCAAACCAGTGTCGTTTACACTTACCTCAACGTTGCTTTTACTTGTCTATTAAAAGGCCAACTGTGATTTTCCCCCCACAATGCTGCGGCAAGCTTAGCAATGCCGTTTATTTTATTTTTTTTTTTCATAAAATTTTCTAGACATTATGTGGCTTAAATAGCCATATTTATTTATTTTAATAATATCTAAACAAAAACAGGGTTGACTTTAGCATAAACCATCATGCCAAAAGTCTACACCCACTGCCAACTCCACTGATCAAACCAAACAAGCCATCCATAAATACCCTGACTTGTTGGCTTCACACATGTTGGTTTTGATGTTTTGGGAGTAATGTTGGCTTGCACCTCTCCAGGTTGTTCAGCCCGAACGCCTTTGTTCGAAACTCCACGAGCCTGATTTGGTCTCCTCTCAGCCTTGCGGAATGAAATATCATATGCTTTCTTGGCTATAGGCAAGACCTTCACGTTTTTTGACACCTTTGTCTTACCAAGTCGACCATATGGCATTGCTTGCCCAAACAGGTCTGGTTTTGTCAGCTTCGCACTCTCACCATGTTGCTGTGAGTATAAGCACCAATGCTTACGAGCTTCACCGACCAGTGTGTGGGTGTTTTGTTTACCACGACACTTACCACACATCCACATCGTTTCTTTTGAGCTCCCGTGTGATTTTGGAGTTTGTAGAGTATTATACTTGCCCCCCAATCCACCATTCATAGCAGACTTGTTCCTCATCGACACTGGTGTGGCAACTCCATGTCGGGCTTGCTTGAACTTGCCCCCCACTTCACTCGGTGGCGGCTTTGGGGACAACTTACACGAAGGATCTAGGTAAGTTACACCAACTTTCGTGGCCTTGGGGGTTTTCACGTGATCACCACCTCCATATTGAATAGTGTTTGTGGCAACCCACATATGCTTTTTCCTAGAACAGGGTGGATGTGGCAAACTGCTTCGCCACTTGTGATATTGTTTCTCCTTCAACCCGCCTTGCAGTGGGCTCTCATGCCCCCCTAGCGGTTTAGATCGAACATCATCGTGACGTTGGATTGACAACACATCATATGTGAGTTTTCCATGCTCAACGTGCTTGTAGCCAGGTTCTCCACCCTGATTCTTATTCTCATTCTTATTAGAAGTACGTTGATACTGGCTTCTTTGTGGTGGTTTCTGCAAGCCACTTCCAACTGGTGTGTCCTTTAGAACAACGTTGTTCACAGGAAAGAACACATTGGATTCACTCACTTCTGGCAACAATGTTGCAGCCATTGATGATGGAGTTTGGTTGACATTAGCTATTCGACCAACCATTGCATCCTCACACACAACAGACATGGTTCGAGATTTAAACACATCAAAATCATACGTGGCTCCACGTATTGACATATTAAAATCAGAAACAGAGTCGTCCAACTTATCAAACCATTGATCTATGTTTTTTTCAAGATTGTCCATTTTTTTATCAAGAGAAGTTAAAATTAGATTTACCTGTTGTCTATCTCTGCTGAGTTCAGCCACTACTTGGCGGAGTATGCGCAGCATCTCATCCTGCTCGGAGATTCGTGCCATTGATTGCACCTCTGCTCCAGCGTTGTTGCTTGAACCGCCAACAGCATCGTCAATCTCGATGTTGACCAGTTGATCCTCCACCACGGAGACTTGTGGAAAACCACAATCTTTCTTTCCTCGTCGCAGAGCCATGTCAAACACACGGGTCCCACTGGGCGTGCCAAAATGTTTCCTCGGGAAAATCAAATGCCCCCGCCGGTGCCGAATTCGTTCCTGGCGATGTTGATTTGATGTTTCGCGGTGGAAACTCTTGCGGTGCCGATTGAACGGATGCACCACTATTTTCTGACCAAATACCACCGCCGGCGTGCCAAACGACGATGTTGATTTGATCGAATTAATGCGCCACTGACTTCTAATCAAGACGACTGTGACTACGGTTCACACCTCTCCAAACTACGTTCGAACGAGGGTGTTTGAGTTTTTGAGGAATCTACGTTACGACTACTCCTATGGAGATTCCTGTGGAGAGCTCCGCGACTACGCTATGACTATGACTATGGAGATCCTTCCTGGAAGGAGAGCTCCGCGAAGGAGTTACAGAGAAAAAGATAAGTTTGACAGAGTTGTTCTGTGTTGATTTCGTTGTCCTCTCTCTCCTTGCTCCGCTGCTCTTATTCAAAAAACAGCTTCGTAGTCTTCACGCTAGGTAGAACCGCTTCCTCAACTGCTCCGTTGCGAACTCCCACGTGTCTCAACCGTCTTGATCTCCTCCTCGTTCGGGTTGGTGTGAATCTCACGCGATGTCGTTTTCTTCCCCAAACAGCTCCGTTTGCTTTTTTTTACTCCACGACATTGTTTTATATTAAACACTGTCGTTTGCTAATACAGCGGTACCGTTGGGCTTCCTCGCGGTACTGTTTTTAATTCCGCGGCACCGTTTTAGCTCTCCGCGGTGCCGCTTCTCCCCATCCAACAAGGAATAAAAATAACAATAATTAATTATAAACAAAACTCCTTTTCCAATACCTAACTAACTGCGCGGCCCCCTTTTTACTTTCGGCCAGCGGTGTCGTTTCCGGTGTTGCGGTACCGCTGGGCTTACTCGCGGTACCGTTTTTTATTTCCCGCGACACCGCTCGACTCCCAACGACACCGTTTTTACCCGCGGCATCGACTTAAATGCCGAGACTAATTAATGCGGCATTTAATTCTGGCCGAATTAATTTTAGGTGTCAACAGTTAGTACAAGATAACAAATTTAGGCGTTCCAAATTATTTCTGCCCATTTCTGCCCCTTTCCTCTCCCCTCTCTCCTCTCTCCTGTCTTCTTCCTTCTCTCTTTTTTGTTCAATCCTTTGGATTCTTCCGTCCAGATCCAAATCGACTGAACCAAAATCGATTCTGCTGGTACTTTTGGATTCCTTTCTGTTTTTCGATCAGAATGAGTAGGCGGAACCCTACGTTGCGATGAACAAGCGGCAGCGAACGGAAGTCTTCTTCAGCGACTAGGAGGCGGCGTTGAGTGTGCGAAGGCGATGACAATAGAGGGTTCGAAGGCGCCTGCAACAGGGGGTTTGTTGGTGACGGCGGCAGGATTGAAGATCCGATGAATCGAGCTCCGCCGCCGTAGTCATCGAGGAAGAAGGAATAGTGGAAGGCGGCGAGAAACGGGCTTCTTTTGTGCATTCCCAATTGATTATCCTAATTGTGTCTCGAATTTAACATTTCAATTAAGTTGGTGATGGATGTCAATTAGGTTAGTAATGATAATTTTGGGGGTTCTAATGATGATTTTGGGGGTTCTTCTGGGAATGCAGAGTTCGTTTGGAGATGTTTGTGGGAGGAGGGGTAAACAGAAGAGTTCTAACAAGATGGGAAGGAAGCAAAAGGTGAGGGTTGATTGGTCTTTTTGCCTTTTAATTGTAAAATAACTCAGGTAAAATAACTCACCATCCAAACATAACATTTAAAACCAATTACTACATCAATACCACACAAATTCCACATTCCTTTAAAATGAGTTATTTCAACTTACAAATACCACATAACCAAAAAACTCATCCAAACGACCCCTTAATAATTTGATATAAGTGACCACTGACCAACGGACAGGATAGTAAGGTAGTTGATATAAATTGTATTTAATTCGCCTAGCAAAACAGCCAAAGAATCCAAAGAATCGAATTGACATCCAATTTTATACAATGACTAATTCACAATTGTGTCTGATTCCATATATTTGAACGTTTCTTTCTTAACTCTATCAAAATACTCTACACTTGTCCTTTCCTCGCTTCAATCGCCGGCGGGACAGAAACAAATAAGACACCAAATAAAAATGAACTTCTCCTCTCCTTCTGCCGACACTTTGATTCTTATCAGTGACTCGACCCGCCATGGCCGGACGAAGAAACCGATGACCTGGACGAAGAACCCGACGAAAAACTCCCGCCCGACGGCCCGTAGAACAAATCGGACCAGTAATTCTCCAAATCATCAGGGGCATATCTGACAATTCCATGCGACCCCGCTTGCCTGGACACCGCCGCCCGATTCCGCTCGTAGAACCGCCGGTACGCCGGGCCGATTTTCCTCGCCACCGAGATCTTGATCTCGTCTCTCAACCTCGAGTCCGGCACCACCCACGACGACTGCTTCCTGTACGCCTCCTCGAACGCCGAGTTGAATTTCCGGAACCACTCCGCCGCCTCGGGAACCGTCATCGCCGCCGCGGCGTTCGCCGGAAGCGACGACATCACTCTGTCCCACCCCACGCGCTCGTAGTTGGCGGCGTACTGCCTCACCTTCGCGTCGTGCTTCTCGATCCACTCGTCGCCGAGGTGGAACTTCAGGCTCGATGTGCGGACCTTGTTCACGACGTAGCGCAGGTTGTTGGCCAGGAACAAGTAAGAGAGAGGGACGTCTCTGTAGAATTGAGCCTTGCCGTCAAGTTTGCAGAGGAGGATGAGTATCAGCCAAGCCAATCGAACGGAGACCGGGGAGGTAACGCCGTCGTCGGGGCCGGGACTGCTGAAGTAAGCCTCCGGCATGGAAGCCGGCACCTCCATCGGGAAATCGGCGACAATATCGGAGAGCGCCCCGGAGTAGTCGCTGAGGAAGGAGATGTAGTTCATCACGTAGCGAGTGAGGGGATGTACGCCGCCGCCGGGAACCGAGATCTTGGAGGCGTCCTTGGTAATGGAGTTTTCCAGATCTGCCAACATCGTCCTCACGGCATCGCCTAGCTTGATTAGAGAGTTGATTGCTCGATTCCTCACCGCAGCGGTCGATTCGAAGCTGAAAATCGATTCGATGTCGGGCCAGAGATCGCTAATCGCCTCGTAGATGTCCAGCGTGCGGAACATTTTCTCGAGAGTTTTCTTCCCCTTTGCGAAATTTTCCGGGAATCCAAACAGGTCCAGAGCGCCTTCTCGAACGACCTCCACGAAGCACGACTCCCTGATTGCGGGAGAAGAAGAGGAGAAGACGTGGTCGCAGAGCAGCCGCTCCCCGTAGAACAGAGTCTTGACGGCGACCTTCACGGCGTACAGCCACGTCTTGATTTTCGAGTCCACGGCCTCCCAATCGAGCTTGTGGACCTGGAGCAAGCTGAATCTGTCGACTCCGAGGCGGTACAGGCCTTCGTCGACAATCGATTTCCGGATGATTTTGTAAATCTTCACGCACTCCTTCGTGTATCCGGCCCCAATCATACAGTGCGCGATGGCGTTCAAATCCGCCATAGCAACCGACGAGGCAGAGGGAACATCGTCCCCAAACTGCGACGGCTCCGTGGCCGTCTCGTCCCCGTCGGATTCGTCTTCGTCCGAAACCGTGGACGACCTAGAAGCTCTGCTGGCGACGGAGGAGCGGTGGACGGAGACCAATTCGGCATCCAGATGCTCGCGATTCGACCTGAGAATCAGATAGAACTCCTTCTCGAGCCTCTTCATCGCCTTCTGCATCAGGCTCTGAGCTCGAACGAGCATCTCGGAGCCGGGATAGCTGGCCACGTAGTACTGCATCGCCGCCTGAAGGTCCGTGACGGCGGTGAAGTATCTCTTGGCCTCGAGGCGGTGGTCGTCGGAGAAGAGGGAAGGAGTATCGGTGGAATTGTTCTGGGAGGTGGTGGTGGTGGTGGTATCCCATCTAGAGATGAGCGCTTCCGCGTTTTCGATGTTTTCCTCCATTAGAGTCTCGGAGAAGGTGTGGCGGCGGGGCGGGGACGCCGCCGGGGAGTGGAATGGAGACGCCGCCGGGGATCTGGCGAAAGGAGACCTCATTATATGAAAACGATTCGAATTTGTTCAGCTAGAAAGGAAGCTCTGTGATGGTGAGGTTATGGCAGTGCTGGTTGAGAGAATTGGATGGATAAGAATAAGCAAAAGGGAATAAAATGATGATATGAAATTATGAATGAATGAATGAATGATGTATGGTTTAGATCAGATTGGGTTTTCGGGTAGGAGGAGGGGGTATTTATAGAGAGAAGAGCGGGTTGACTGAGTGTGGGCTTGGGCTTGGGCCTGGGACTTGGGAGTAGTAAGGTAAAGACTGGTCCAACTCCGAAGTTTGACGCGCTTTTCCAAATCAGGGGGAATTTGGTTGGTTATTCATTGATGTTAGCGTTTTGCCTTTTGTAGCTTTGAAGATAGCGCATTGACTTTCCTAACCCTGTGTGCTTGGAGGAAGTTTCCGTTACTAAAAACGGGAGTCACGTTTTGGAAAGGGAAGGAAGGAAGGAAGGAAGGAAGGAAGAAAGAGGGTGGTTTTCCGTCAGCTCAGACGGCATAGTTGATAGAACCAAAGAAGCTGAGGCGTTGCCAACTTGCCATGGCAAGCGGATTACGAACTAGGACTTAAGAATGTATTATGTAATATATTAACGCAGGCCTGTTTCCCTTCAACGAACAGAGGGTGCTTGTACAAAAATAATGAATGAGGTTAAATGTGAGAATATAGAAATGTGAACTAATCAAAATTCGAAAATTCTACAACACGACAGCTCAATGAATTATTATGAATATGCAAATTGCTTGTGTAGTTACAAATATTATGTATTTAACTTTATTGATGAATCTAAAATATGGAATTTGGTGGCGAAGAGTATGTAGAATAGATGATTCGGTATATAATTGTTCGTTGTATGGCTCGGGTCTAGCCGCGCCAAGGAAGCAGTCCGACATCGCCCCAAAAAGGTCAGCGCGTTAGCACCATCACGCCCGAGGCTACACTCGCGCGAGGATCACGGGCGCGGAGAAGGCTGCACTCGCGGGCGAAGAGCCCAGATGCCGAATGACTCTGTTTTGATCAGGCATTGACCAAACCAAGAAAACGACATTGTATTCCCCAAGAAGTGGTCACATCATAGTCCTAGGTATAATCATGGACAAATTGTCTAGTCCTAGGTAGAGGTATGGCCTAAGTGCCTGACATGTCAGTAGTCATATCACATTTAATACTCACCCACCACCATGTAGCCTATAAATACGGCATTTACTCTGGTGGGTGAGAGGGGAGCATTTTAACTCTCTCACTCTATATACTAAGAACTTTGTCTCTCTAAAGAATTCTCTCTGGCCTAACTCCCCTGTTGCTTACTCCTCTCACCCACCTTTCACCCGAGTCTCCTCCTACTCTAAGTTAGACTCAAACAATTGGCGCCCACCGTGGGACAAGAATAGAGAAGCAATAGGACAGCAAATCGCAAATGGCGGAACAAGACAGTAACATTCCCAACGAAGCAACCCCGATCAAGGCAATGACAAACCCGAGGTCGTTCGCGAAAACTAGCAACCTCAACGCGGTCTTGATCGAAGAGAAAGAACCAGAACTGACAACCAAAGAGGTCCGCCAGCAAATGACCAAACAAAACGAGGTCATCGCGGACATGCAGGCGAAAATGAATCAAGTGATCGCCCTAATGATGAACAAAGAAACCGCCGCGACAACGTCAGAGCGGCCAGCGATGACGCTCCCACCGCCCACAGATTGCCAAACAGTCAGACAGGAAAACCCGCAATCCCGCGAACAGGACCCGCCATCGAGAGCGGAACTGACTTTCTTAGAGCAGCACCTGTCCCCACAATATCGCGCTCCGCCCAAAAAAACCCTGCACCAACCACTGTGCATGGAAATTATGACGGAACACTTGAGCGGGATCCCACCCACCCTGCCCACGTACAACGGGACAACAGACCCGGAGGACCACATCAACAGCTTCTGCCTCCGCATGCAGCTGCAAACGAACTCCAATGCAGCACTATGCAGAACCTTCCCATCCACATTCGCGGGCATATGTCTAGATTGGTATAACCGCCTCCCCAACGGAATCATCCACACCTTCAAGGAATTCATACTACTGTTCACAACGAAGTTCTCCTCCCAAAAGAGAAGACCGCTCCACCTTAAAGCATTGATCGACCTAAAACAGAAGGATGGAGAAATCCTGCGGGCGTTCTATGCCAGATGATCGAGGACCGCGATGGTGGTACGCGACCTGACTCAGGAAACTGCCGCCCACCACCTCATGGAAGTCACCACCAATGTGGAACTCAAACGCGCGCTGGCCAAAAGACCTGTCATTCTGTCCTCGGAATTGGAAGCAAAGATCGAGAAAGCTATCACCTTGGAGGAAACCCTGGGAGCGGGAGCGGTCCGCCGCTACGAACCGACAAGGCCTCCTCGAGAGGAGCAAATGCGACGGAAGCCACAACTCCCGCTCCCGCAGTACCATAGCGGGTATGGCAAGCAGCTAGCCCCACATGAACCCCCACAACGCAGGCGCTCCCCAGACAGGGGCCCACCTATGAGCTTCACCCCCTCAACGACTCAGAGAAGAATATATTCCACCTTCATCAGAGAGAAGGGGTACCGCGTCAACTGCCCGGCGCCAGTAAGAGCCCTAGTGCACACTCGCGATCATAGAAAGCACTACGACTTTCACCGAGAGTCAGGCCATATGACAGAAGATTGCTTCAACTTGCGCATGGAAATAGAGGCGCTCATCAGAAGAGGATACCTCGCGGAATACATAAAGGGGACAGAAGAGCGGAAAGACCATCAAAACATCCCACCACCGCCTCCCCAAGCAGACTACAACGAGACAACGGGGTCTTACATCGTCCGCAAAGATATAGGTGTCGTCACAATCGAAGGGGACGGACAAAAAAAAAAAGACAAAGCGAGACCGCGTGGTGGAATGCGCAAAAACAAGCGCCACTATAAAGTGCGATCCGAGCTTCGGCAATTCAGAGCTCCCACAAGGGACGACGTTAGAGGAACCACTAACCATAACGACGCTCATCGCCGCGTGCAAAGTACACCGCCTACTGATAGACGGAGGAAGCGCGGTGGACGTCTTGTTCAAGCGCACACTGGATTAGATGGACATAGACCCGCGTCTGGTACAACGGGCGCAAGGCAACTTAGTGGGATTCTCCGGACCGAGAGTCGCGGTCATTGGGGAAGTTACACTGCCAGTCGTAATTGGAGACGACGAGCCACGCATCTCAAAGTAAGTCCAGTTCACTATTGTAGACTGTGACTCACCACACAACGACATATTGGGCTGCCCATTCCTGGCCAAATTCATGGCACTAGCATCCACATGCCACCAAAAACTCAAATTCCCCACCAAGGCTGGAACTGGAGAGTCGCGCGGCTCGTCATGGTCCGAGAGCAAACAACAAATCTCACGCCCCGCCGCGGCACCACGACAGACAAACATCATCGACACCCACGCCGAAGACCCCTGTACAGAGTCAATGGACTCCGACTTCGAGGTCGCTCTGAACCCGTAAAAGCCAAGCAAAAAAGTGCGCATCTCGACCCACGTCCTGGGATACATGATCGAGCCGTTGGTAAAACTGCTACAAGAGTACCAAGAACTCTTCGCCTGGTGCATAGAAGATATGCCAGGAGTGCCAAGGCATGTGGCGCAGCATTGCCTCGCGGTACCAAACACCGCGGAACCCCGACAGCAGGCACGGCGCACGTTTACGGGCGAGAAACTGAAGGCTGTAGAAGAAGAGGTGGCACGGCTACTCGCCGTCGGTCTCATCCAGGCAGTAAAATACCCAAAGTGGTTGGCAAATGTAGTCCTGGTGAAAAAAGCTTCAGGCGCATGGAGAATGTGCGTAGACTACACCACCATTAATAAAATATGCCCGGGAGACCCATACCCCCTTCCGCGCATCGACCAACTAATCGACGCGACATCCAACCACGAAACATTATCGTTTCTGGATATGTTTTCAGGTTATCACCATATCCCAATAGGTCGCGAAGACGAGGAGAAAACCGCCTTCATGACGCCATTCAGCAATTTCTGTTTCACGGGAATGCCGTTCGGCCTAAAGAACGCTTGCGCCACATACCAGCGCATGATCGATACAGTCTTCGCACCCCAGATGGGGTGCAACATTGAGGCCTACGTGGACGACCTCATTGTCAAGACAAAGGGTGGGGTCTCCCATTTGGAAGACCTCTGCGAAACATTTGAGGAGTTACGCAAAAACAGCCTCCGACTCAACCCGCTGAAGTGTGTCTTCGGCGCGAAAGCAGGAAAGTTTCTCGGATTCATGATAACAAAACGCGGAATCGAGGTTGACCCCAAGAAAATTACAGCAGTGCAGCAACTCCGCGCTCCCAGAAGCGGCACTGAAGTCCAATCGCTGAACGACAAGCTAGCCGCCTTAGGACAAAATGGGCAGTTGAGTTATCAGAATATGAAATACAATATGCGCCAAGGCTAGCAATCAAGGCTCGAGTCCTTGCCGACTTCGTCACGGAAGGAGTAACATGTGCGACAAACCTGATGGAGTGTGGGAAGTCTACGTCGATGGGGCTGCTAGCAAACATGGAGCGGGAGCAGGCGTTGTCGTAAAAATGCACGCGGGAGTTATCCATGAAATCTTCATCCACTTCAGAACTCTTAAAACCAACAACGCCTCGGAGTATGAAGCAATACTTGAAGGAATAACGGCCGCCAGAGACCTAGGCGCAAGAGCAGTACGAATTCTTTCCGACTCCGCCATCGCTATCAACCAGCTGAACGGAATCTTCGACGCCAAAGAATACATCGATCGTGTCAAAGCGCGAGAGGCACGATTCGAAACTGTTACATACGTCCAAATACCGAGAGAAGAAAACATGCACGCGAACGCACTCTCCAAACTTGCTATGACAACAGACTTCGACGCGACAAGGATGGTTTCCGTGCAAAAGGAAGACCAAGATGCGCTACACATCATAAACGCGAACGTCAATAATCACGTTTTTG